GTTACAGGGAAAAAAGGGGGAAGGGAAAAAAGGGTAAAGGTCTTAAAAAAAAAAAAAAAAAAAAAAAAAAAATCACTTCAAGTCTTCTCACATTGAAGTCAATGTTAATTTTACTACATGTCACAGGCCTCCCTTCCTATGAGGCACATACCTATACCAAGATGAGTAGTTTATTTTCTGAGGTACTGTTGAAGGCTTTTGTACTTAACTACCAAAGTTTTCACACATACAAGGCATGTTAGGGACACTATTAGTTTGCCAAAAGGACTTGAGACAAGAAGAGGGGGCAAGGTAGAAGAGTTGAAAGAAATATTTTATTTATTTATTTATTTTTTTTAGGTATTCTACAACAAACCTAGACAATTTTTTCTCATTATAGGTTCTAGCTCCCAAAAGCTGTAGCCTAGAGGCTTGCCTTCTCCATGAGATTTACAGTATAGATCCATCTACCTGCCTGCCCACACCTCACAGTCAGTATTTTTTAGATTATGAGCTCACCTTGATGTCCTGCAAAACAATGTGTCCACCTCGCTTGTTTTGGTATTGCAGGAGCTTTTCAGCCTGCTCCCTGTGCTCATGCGACTGCTTCTTCAGGAGTTTGGCCACATTCTGCAGGGCCACATCATCACGGTCAAAGTAGTATGACTAGAGAGAAGAGACAGCAATATTTACTGTCTGAAGCTGCCAAAAGCACATCACAGGGAGGCTACAGGTGTAATGATTAGAGCACAGGAGTCTGACAAGATGCTTGGGTGACAGCATACAAGTCATTTCATTTCTTTACTTTTCTTTCCCCAGCTGCTAACTGGAGATGCTGCTGCTTTCAGAGCCTCCTTTTAAGAGATACTTCAGCAACTTAGTTGCCTTAACCCGATGATGTTATAGCTTGGATTAAAAAGTAATATCAAATTCCTCGCTTAGTTTTTGCAACCCAGGGTAATAGGCACAATGGACTGAAAGGCTGTCCCTAGCTCACATACTTGAAATCAGAACCAGGCTGAGCAACCCACTCATAGATAGAAATGGAAACAGACTGAGGTTGAGTAAATTTACCCAAAGGGCCTACTAGGCAAGGCAGCAGTTTGAAAGCAAATCTGATTCATTTCCTACTGGAGTGCTTTGTTGGGGATAGCTAATTCACTCATCCTTGCATCTGAGGATGTAAGGATACCCTCCCTCCTTGCTCCTCTGAAGACTGCACTAGCACTTGTATGCAACTTGAAAGGACTGCACTTTACAAATCTGAAGAGGGCAGTCCTTCAGTCACAATGCAGTGGAAGTTAGAAGCTCAAAACATAGAACTCCAAAAATCTGATTTTTAAGGGAAGAATTGAGATTATCTGAAATGATAAGACTTGCATAATCCAAACACTCACCATGGATAAGTAGACATAGCTAGCATACAACTCCAAGTTTACAAAGTGGTTCACAGCTGCCTCAGAGTCAGCATGGAAATTCTGGTGCACCTGAGACTCCATCTCTGCACCTGTATTAGCTAGCTGGCAGTAGCAAAACAAAGTTATAATTCCAGCAAGGTCTGCTCCAGTACTGCTAAAGCAAGAACCCACACCTCCTAAAGAAGTGAGAGACTTTTTTTTCCTGCACAACTGCTATTAATACCATTCAAAGTAAGGGTTAAACATGATTGACAGTTGCTGCCACCCAGTAGAAATTTCCATTCCCATTGCAAAGCAAATCAGGTTGCTTTTGAGGTTGTCTGAACAGTTTCACAGGAGATAGAAAATTCAGCAGTACCTCCTAAGAGTTCAGAGGAATGTCACTCCCATATTTTTTAGATAAGGCATTGAACTTGATCCTTATGCAATGAATTAAAGCATTTATCACTGGGCTGGAGGGTGGTCTTTGTCACTACAGTGAGGAAAGTTACAGATTTGTTCTGAGCTCATTGCATTCCCAAAGCCAGACTCAGAAACATCTCCCATGCTCCAGGAGCATTGTCCAGAAGGTTGAGGTCCCCATAATGCACAGGGCATTATACAACTACACATGTCTGGAATAAGTCATGCACAGAAGTTGATGCCTCCATCATTTAGTATAAATTGGGTTAGGAGCTCATCTTGGTGCTGGAGGCTGCACTCCAGAGGCTGGACTCCTAAAAAGTTTGACACTAAGTCCCCCTGTGGATCTAGCCCTTACAGAGCAAACTAAGTGACCTGAGGTTCAGAATGCTGACCATCTGAAATCAAGTCAATTTAAGAGACCTAACATTAAAAATCGAACCCCTGTTTTTGAAAGATGAGGACTCCAAGAATTTGATAAGGAGACCTGAGGAAAGGTATTTCATCCCTGAAATCTTATCTGTATGCCTCCCATCTATACAGTTGGTCCAATAAAAGATATCTGGCACAAAAATCTTTGCCCCTCACATACTGTGTAAGCATTTTTTTTCAAATATTTTAACCACCTTCTATTGCCATTGCCAACAATATACTGGATCTGGGTAAGCATTTAACCATGGTACACAACACACAGAACCATAATTTGATTTGAAACTGTGAAAGTTTCTTTTGAAGATGCAGGATATTAATGGAACAAAGTAAGCAAAACCAGAACAGAGGTAAAGAATATAATCTACAGGTTAATGGAAAACAATCATGTAGTATCAAGAGATTGTATGCTATTTAAGGGGGGCAGGGAATGCAACATTCTGTGAAAAGCTAGTATTATGAACCAGCAGAGTGTGAAGATCTAGTTAATAAGAGTATGTTCCTTAATGAGGTCAACAGTGAATTTAGATGATGTGGGAATTACAGGTTCACTTATTTTTACCTCTAATCACCTCCTTTATTCTTCTTCCCCACCCCTCATTCCCATTAACAGAGCTACAAAATAGGGTTCCACTTCTACCAGTAAACAAAGAGACTCCTCATTCCAATTTACTGCTCTCTGTGTGCGGCTACACACTGAACATGTAAACAGAAAAGCTGCCAGAAATGGACCAAGAGGAAGAAAGTAGATCTACCAGAGAAAATATAAACTTGGCAAATATATGATTCCAAAGGCAAACACAGTTGGTTATTTTTCCGGGGTGGGTGTTACTATGCATAGAGTGTTCTCATTATAGTAGCATTCTTGCTTTATTTCATAAAAGCCCAAAAACACCAGCATCTGATGAACAGCACTTTCAGAAACCACAGGCATTCTTTCCACACAGTGGCTACCGCTCTGTTTCACTAGCAGAAAATGGGTCTGTTGCAGAGCTTGCATTATTTCTTGTGAGGAACTTTTTATTCCAGAATGAAAGGAGAGGTATGTTTATTGAGAAGGTGGTGAGTGTGATTGCTCTAGCCACACAGGGGTGCATTTAAGAATAAAGGCCTAGTCTGGGAATAAAGGAAGGGAATGAACTACAGCACCTAGAAAGAACAATTTTCTTTGGAGCAATCTGGTTTCCTTTCCCACAAGCATGGGTGGTATTTAGACAGAGGCTACCCCACCTCTTTCAATAGGCCACTTATTTCGTTATTCAAAACCCACACAGGTGGATCTTTCTCCCCTGAAATGTGAAATACCAGAGATCGGTGAGGTTCAATGTGGTGGAAAGGAGCTGTTTTCATGGAAGATGCCTGAAAGAGCAAGGCCAAAATAAGTATTTAGGTACCCAAACCTAAAAATTGGCATCTTTAACATACATTGTTACATTGATATGTATTAATCTAATTTCCTGTACTCTTAGGACTTAAATTCTCATTGCTAACTAATCCACTTGCACATACCTGAAGTTTGCTTAACAGAAGATGAGTTTCTACTGCTAGAGCAGAATCAGAATCTTCCAAATTATTGATCTGCCAAGTTAGTTTTCCTCTATGCACTTAAGCCTCACCCTAGAAATGAATAAGCAGCTCTGCAGGCTAGGGTCTAGGCTGTTAATTCAATTTCCTTGTCCCTGGCTCCCTCTTCACTGTATTTCCCCCCTCCCCCCCTTGCGCCACACTGTAAATGACAGTATAGATGATAAGATAAAGCCAGTGAAAATATTAGTCTTGGTTCAATAGAGCATGTTCTTTCATTGTTCCATCTCCCCCAAAACCTCACGCTTCCATTGTAAGGTTGAGTTGTTTCATTCTTTAAAAATGTAACTTGTGATTAAACCATCAAGTTACATAACTGGTTGAAGCTAGCAACTCTTGATCTGTCCTATTCTATCTCTCCCCTTGTATTTGTTAATCCTACTCATCTGGTAACATTCAGATTTAAATTATCCTTTTCACCTCTGCCACGTTGTTTCTGAAACATTGCACACTGAGCATGTGTGGGTTCTAGAGTGCTGCCAACATCTCGGCACTCAATATTATCTTCATTGTCCTGCCTAATACATTCCTAGAAAAGAATAGTGGGGATTTTAGACGAAGTGGTCCCAGCTTCTCCACTAGTATGGTGCTAAAATCACAAAAGATAAATATAAAGGATATTCTGGAGATGGCACTTTCCCTTTTGTGGTTGTTTCCCTTGCATAATGTTACTTAATTGACTTGATGTTGAAAGATTTCAGAGTCCCACCTTTAGCATTATAAAGTGTAATATTAAACTGATTCCCCTTTCTCCCAGCACCTGAGCTTAGTGCAGTGTCTACACTTGATTTTATTTGAGGGACCCACTTCTGCAGCTGAATTTCTGCATGACGGGTTGGAGGAATAGGAAATGGGATTCTTATGTGTACATAGCTGGGAACTAAAATTAATAGTTTGAGAACAATCTTTTAATTATCAGCAGTGGCTTCAATATAAACTGAGGGATAAAAAAGGAAAGTACACACACAGCCTAATTTCATATTGAGAGCTCATGCAAGTGACCTGTTTTCCATTCAGAAGATATGGACTATAACTGGGGTCTACACAGTAATCCAAGTTGCGGTTGAGTAGCTGTGTCTATAGAGTCCCTGTTCTTCCAGAGAAATTGTTCAGTTTGTGGAACCAGCCTGCATAACTTTAAAAGCAATACTCAAGGAGGGTCAGTCCCAGCTCAGGGGTTTTGGCTTTATTGGTCCTTCACACATTTTGGCTGAGTTCTGGTCTTGGATTCACAGGGAGTAAGTATCCACTGTATCGTTCAGCTGTTTTCCCATCTTTGCTTGAGACCTAGTTCTAGTTTTATTTACATCTGCACCAGTCTCTCTAAACCCTGTTAAATCTTCAGAGATATAAAAACACCACAAGCCAGGCTTACAGTTACACTTTGTTTGCATCTTAATGAAAATGTTTTATGTAGCTATCTTTGTGGCCACTAGTAGATGAGATCTGATGATCTGTGTGGTCTTAAAAGAGACAACTTCATAGACTTCTGCCAGGAGCTGAAGAAAACCAAACATACCAGTTTCAAGGTTTCTTTGTTTTTCAGCACACTCTGTACTGCTCAAATCATTATCTTAACAAGTTAGAGGATTTCACCTATATAAAACTTTACATATTATTCCAAGGGATTTGGCTTTCAAAAGGGGAAGATTTCTTCTTTCCATCCTTTCCATCCACTGGTTATATTGGCAAGATTGTGATATTTAGAAACCAAATGTCTTGTGTTGCCTTCACTTATTAAAAAAATTTGCACAATGTTTTCCCAGTTTGAAGGCATTATTGAATTTCCCTAAAAACACTGGGTCAACTGAAATGTATTATCCAGGATTAGATTGTGGAAACATAGTTAGTAATGAGATTCTAATTAGATTGTGACATTTAAGCCTCATGCGGGAAGGGTCAGACCTGTAATCTGGTTAGTTTTTAAAATGATTATGGAAAGACTTTCTTCTTTGCAGAATTGATTGCAGACATGTACTAGGAGCCTCTTCAGTCTCACCTTTTTAAACATAATATAACAAAAAATTAGCTAAATGAAATGCAGATGTGTTATGTTATTCAAAATCGTCCATGCACCTTTTTAATTTAGGAGAATAATTTGACTAAGTAGAAATATGAAAAAGATTGCCTGTGGCTCTTTGATAGTTCCTCCTCCCCCTTCTCCCATACTCCTAGAACAAACTGTTGGCAGTGTTATAATTATCCAATCAGACAAGTATCATCAACTCTAACAGCGTTGTACTTTGCCTCTTGATAACCTAGCAGTAGAATCATAGAGAATTAGGGTTGGAAGGGACCTCAGGAGGTCATCTAGTCCAGCTCCCTGCTCAAAGCAGAACCATCCCCAACTAGATCATTACAGAAAGGCTTTGTCTAGCCAGGTCTTAAAAACCTCGAAGGATGGAGATTCCACCACCTCTCTGTGTGAATTGTTCAAGTGCTTTACTGCCATCCTAGTGAGAAAGTTCTTCCTAATGTCTAACCTCAACTTCCCTTGCTGCAACTTGAGACCATTGCTCCTTGTCTTGTCATCTCTTGACCAAGAACAGTCTAGCTCCATCCTCTCTGGAATCACCATTCAAATAATGGAAGGCTGCTATTAGACTAGAGACAAACGGTCACAGAAATAAGACTACGAGCAACACTTAAGCTACCTTGTGAAATGTGTATGATTTATTACTTCTGTTTTGGCAAAAAGTACACCTAACAATTATGAGAGATATCCATATTCAAAGAAAGGATCTGTTTTCTTTTCAGGC